GCACAAAATTGTTCCCTATACACCCCAACAAAATGTGATAGCCGAGAGAATGAATAAGACTGTTCTAGATAAGGTTAGGAGTATGCTTGCTACCTCCGGTTTGTCTAAAAAGTTTTGGGGTGAAGCAGTCAATACTGCTGTCTACTTGATTAACCGGTCTCCCTCTGTTCCCTTAAGTGGGAAGTGCCCTGAATCTGTTTTCTCAAATAAGCCCCTTGATTTGTCTAATCTTAGAGTGTTTGAGTGTGCTACGTATGTGCATCAACAAGGTGACAAATTGGATCCTAGGTCTAAGAAAGGAGTCTTCTTAGGTTATCTTGAGGGTGTGAAGGGGTACAGGGTTTGGGATAGAAACCAGGTAGGTTTCAAAGTTGTGGTAAGTAGAAGCGTTATCTTTAATGAATCCGAGTTTCCTTGTCTTGTTAAGTCAATTCCTGATTCTGAGTCGAGCCCTAGTAGTAAACCTGTTGAGCTGGAGTCCATACCATATGCTGCTAGTCCTTTGTTTGCTAATCATGATTCTTCTGACTTACATGATTCTTCTAAATTGCATGATTTTTCTGAATTGCATGATTCTTCTGAGCATGATAATACCACCACTTCGAGTGAGGTGGAGCATTCTCATGTGCATTCAAATGACAATGAATCGCATGATGAGAGTGTTGATTCTAGTGAAAATGATTTGCATGATTACCAACTTGTTAGAGATAGAAGTAGGAGAGAAATTAGGAGAACTGCAGATAGTATGCCTGATTTTGCTTTCCACGTGTGTGATACTTCTATGTTTGCTTTCTCTGTGTTTGAGACCCTTGAGTTTAACGAACCTAGAACCTATAGAGAGGCTGTAACACCCCGGTCTCGCAGGCCCCGAGGTAGTTACTCCAGACCTCTAGTACTGTCCCCACAAACCACCACGAGCCTTTACCGCGCACTTTGTCCTCACTCATGCGCGCCCTGAGAAATTTCCCAGGGGGTCACCCATCCCAAGACTACTCCCGTGCAAGCACGCTTAACTTTGGAGTTCTTGAGTGATGAGCTCCCTTAAAAGGAGATGCACCTCTGTTGGTATGAGTAGTACTATTAATCCTCTTATATTAATCTCGGGTATTACAATCACCCCCACTTAGGATCGCAACGTCCTCGTTGCGCCTTTAACAATCTCAATCAAATCCCAGAATCTTGCCCCACTAAATGCCCGCCCGATATCTAACGGGTCAGTACACTGTCGCAGGGTTGCTCTGATACCACCTGTAACACCCCGGTCTCGCAGGCCCCGAGGTAGTTACTCCAGACCTCTAGTACTGTCCCCACAAACCACCACGAGCCTTTACCGCGCACTTTGTCCTCACTCATGCGCGCCCTGAGAAATTTCCCAGGGGGTCACCCATCCCAAGACTACTCCCGTGCAAGCACGCTTAACTTTGGAGTTCTTGAGTGATGAGCTCCCTTAAAAGGAGATGCACCTCTGTTGGTATGAGTAGTACTATTAATCCTCTTATATTAATCTCGGGTATTACAGAGGCCCTTAATTCTAATGAGTGCGCTAAATGGCTTTGCGCCATGGAAAGTGAGATGGAGTCGCTTAGAGCGAATAAGACTTGGACGTTAGTTCCTAGACCGCCCAATAGTTCCGTTGTTGAATGTAAGTGGCTATTTAAGGTTAAGGAAGAGCCTAACGACATTAGATATAAGGCTAGGTTAATAGCTAAGGGATTTACTCAAAAGGAAGGTGTTGATTATGCTGAAATCTTTGCTCCTGTTGTTAAATTCACTACGATAAGAACGATGCTTGCTCTTGTTGCTCATAATGATTGGGAAATGAAGCAAATGGACGTCACCACTGCTTTCTTGCATGGTGATTTAGATAAGAAAATCTATATGACCCAGTCTGAGGGCTTTGTGGATCCTATGAAGAGTGATCATGTGTGGTTGCTTAGGAAGGCCTTGTACGGACCGAAGTAGTCCCCGAGGCAGTGGAATATCAAATTTGACCAGTGCATGTCATCTTTGAAATTTCACAAGTCTGAGTGCGACCATTGTCTATACTTTAAAAATACTTCTTCTGTGCCTGTATTTTTATTGCTTTATGTGGATGACGCCATTAAATGTGTGCAAAAACGTCTTAGCGAGAATTTTGCAATGAAAGACCTAGGTGATGCCAAGAGGATCCTAGGCATTAACATTGTTAGAAATAGGAGTAAGCGTGTGTTAGTACTCAATCAGATTTCATACATTGAAAAGATTTTGAGTAAATATAACATGCATTCTGCTACTACCGTCTCTATTCCTATGGCGTCCCACTTTGTGTTATGTAAGGATCAGTCTCCCAGGACTGCTCCTGAAATTGCTAAAATGAAATCTGTGCCTTATTCCAGTGCTATTGGGTCCGTGATGTATCTCATGGTGAGTACTAGACCCGACATTGCCTATGCTATTAGTTGTTTGAGTAGGTATATGTCTAACCCTGGTTTGCCTCATTGGAATGCTCTTAAGTGGTTGCTTAGGTACTTGAAATCTACTGATAATCATGGATTGGTTTTCACTAGGTGTTCTGAGGGCGTTAAGTTGAGTGGGTATGTGGACTCGAATTTTGCTAACGATAGAGACAATAGGAAATCCACTACCTCTTATGTGTTTACCCTTTGCGGGTCTTGCATTAGTTGAAAGTCTCAACTTCAATCCATAGTTGCCCTATCCACTACTGAGTCCGAGTATGTGGCCGCTACCGAAGCGTTTAAGGAAGCCATTTAGCTTAAGTATCTCCTAACGGAGATTGGTAGTCTTAATCAGGACATTTGTGTGTTTTCTGATAGTCAATCTGCTATTCAACTGTGCAAAAACCCTGTTTTTCATGATAGAACTAAGCATATTGATGTTAGATTTCATTTTATACGTGATATTGTTAGTGCATGTGATATCAAGTTGATTAAAATTTCATCTGAATTTAATTCTGCTGACATGGGGACTAAATGTCTCTCTGTTGAAAAACTGTTGTCTTGCAAACGCACGTTAAACATTGATTGCGGATAAGTTGCGTGGTGATATTACCCCTTATGCCTGAATGTGTCTTTGTGATCATTCGGGCAATCCAACGATGATGAGTCTCAAATTGTTTTAGAGCGTTGTGCTCTACACTACTATGGTCCAATAAGGTGGAGAATGTGTTGGTATTGGCCCTCTTTATTCCCTAAACCCAAATTCCCTTACTCGGCCCATGTCTTAATCTGATTTCTGATTCGCACAAGCCTATCTCCTCTTACGCGATTCTTCCGTCTCCTGGTAAGGCTAGTTACCATCTTTGTCTTTGATGTTTCGTCTATATATATTCTTCTTCCCATCTGTAATCGCGAGTGCGGAAAAACCCTTCTTCTCCTAAAATCAGACTGCCGCTACTCTGTAGGGCGAATTGGCCGGAAAAAGGTGTGCTGGCTGACGCCCCTTTCCCCTTGAGACTTTAGTGATGTTCTTCATCCTTTGTGGGTGAAATCTGGACGAGACCTGAGCTGGAAGTAGATAATACAACCGCTCTTTTATTTGCTCAAATATGAGAACTGCTCCTAAAATAGTACGGAGTATCACAATTTCTAAAAGGAGGATATTTTGTGTACGTGCTGAGTGAATGGTGTATAACATACCATCAAAACGCCACAAATACTCCGTTATAGGAGTAGTTAAATGAAGTGCCGAGTAAATACTTCCTCCGTCCTTCAATTAAGTTCCTAGATTAATTTCACACATATTAAGAAAATAAACAAGAAATTATACTAAATGGGACTAAAACATGCTCAAAACTCCAAAATAGGATTTCAAGTTTTAAATTGCCTAAATGAGACTCCACATGACAGTTTTGCCCTTCTGGGATTAAAACCCCAATTTGTGTCGCCATTGACCACATCCCCCCAACGCAACCACTATATCTGTCGTCAAATCCATATTCAACATAAAAAATCTCCGATCCATCCTGGGCGCCAACAACCTCCCTCTCACCACTCCGGCCAACCAAACCTTCGTGGCGAACCAGACACTGAAGATTCCGTTCATGGATAAATGATGCTCGTTCCAATCGTGATTCTCTATGCTTTCAATGTTGTTCTTACAATTCAAAAATAGAGCTTTGTTGATTTTTTAGATTCAAATAAAAAATTTTATTTGAAACTTTTGCATTTGGAACTTTTGTATAGGAACTTCCCATCCTCTTCAAATCTGGGTCCTCTGTTTTCTTTTTCTTTAGATTTTCAGAAGATGACACTTTTTGAATATGAGATTGTCATTGTTGTGTCATTATTGATCATTTTTAAAAAATGTCACTTTTATGTCATTACACTATTTGAAAATGTCATATTGAGAATGTCATGTATCTATACGAAATTGTCATTATTGTGTCATTATGCATATATTAAGTGACATTCTCGCATATGAAGTGTCATTCCTTATGGAAGTCTGCACAGACTCACTGGAGGGTATATTTTTGTTGGAGAATGATGACAACGTACTTGTTGAGGCGTGAAAGTGGTGACAGACTTGATTGATGGTGGCACAGCCGTCATTAGTGGAGGCGCCGATCTTGGAGGCATGGAAACGCACAGGGCACACCGTTTGCGCAACAGAGGAATCACATATGCGCAACAAAGGCCCTTGCGAACTCTTCATTAAGGGCATTTTTGTCCAATTAGCTCTTTTTAGTCCTATTTTTGTCCAATAAAACATAGTAGTCCTGTTTTTGCAATTCTAGCTTCATTTAGTCCTATTTAGAGAATTCTCTCAAAATAAATTTTTTAGAGAGTAAACTTTACTGTTTTAACACTGTTTGGAAACTGTTTGACACTATTTACATTGTTATGATATAAATACTTTGTCAAAATGGAAAGTAGGAACTTAATCGAGGGACAGATGCGGCATGGAAGAAGAAGAGATTGAAAATCATGCATGCATTCCCATATTCCAAACTAATAAAAGCAAGAATTTTACGCGAGTATATTCTACTATACGTTTATGCATGTAACAGATCGAAAATGAAAATACACTGCAAATTTTGCGTTTTGTATTTACTAGCTACCTTAGTTGCATGTCAGTGTGTTTTATATACTTGAATCGATCGTATATATCAGTAATTAACTGGGATTGAGCAATTCAATCGAAGTAGTGGATAAGGTCTCCGTGCAGAAAAGTGAGGGGCGGGTCAAGTTTGAACCACAACAAGGTCGCTCCCGCCGGCCGGCGGTAGAGGGAGACTTCAGATGAGAGGTCGGTGGTTTGGAAGACATCCACGTATTTCATCGGAATCACACAATGCACCATATTCGCTCCCACAATATCCCCTCTTTGTGATATCAGCCCGCCCTCCGCCTTCATCACCAGTGAATCTTTCAAAGGTTTTCCTACCAAATTGAAGAACACTCTCCCTTGCGCCGCTGTTATTGTCACTGCACACATAAACACATAGTTTCATAGTCATAATTAAAACTTCAATAAGAAGATAACTTATTAGATAAATACGAGTATGTATTACCTGGTTCCTCGTTAGAAGGGTTGATTAAAGCCATCATTTTGAAAAAAGCAAGCGCAACGAAGGTGGCTACAGGGGGGAGGGGGGAGGAAGAAGGATCATGGGATACATCTGCAGATCTGAGCATCTTTTCTGGTAAATGTCCATATATTTTCAGCTCTACCATGAAGGTAATCTCTTCTTCCGGATCATCCTCTGAAATTGCCATATGCAATTAACAACATCTTTTGCCCATCAGAAACATGATAATTAAACATATCAAGAAAGTAAACAATGGGTAATCAAGAAATCCGATCCATTATACGGGCTGGTTACAGGACCTTTTAAATAGAAAACAGAGCATTTTGTGTAGAAACAGAGTAGGGTCTTCTTGCTCTTCACTCTTCAGTAATGCATTACATCTCAAAGCAACAAAATTTAAACAAAATCTCATCAATATGCATGGAGTGCCCGGCTAGTATATATTGCGAAAAGATTGAAGCGTTTACAAGGAATCTTAACTCCCCCCATCATTTCACAATCAAAAAAGCTATCAGAAGCAGATTAAACTTTCAGAAACCCGAGTATTATATTCAAGATTCAAGAAAGCAGAGTGTACACAATGTTTGAAACCCCCCCAATAAAAATCAGTATTAATGAGATGCTTTCTCGTCACATAATCCTACCATTTCAATCAAGAATGCACAAACACAAACACAAGATATATACTCGATCATCCATTAAGTTGCATCGGGCTAAGCATCTAAAAATTAAATCTGGGTGTTCAAGAAACATTTAATAAATTACTCACGTGCAGGCGTGCTGACATGGGCACACAGGAACCCCAACGGATTGGGTGAAGAAGCAATTGGCTCAGCCATCTCAGAGAATCGGATAGTATCACCAGTGTCGGTTAAGTTAAGAAGAGTCATAAGGTCTACAAAGTCAACAGCTGCGTGGTAGAAGTCGTCTGTTGATTTGTATTCGGAGAAGGACTCTGGAGCGAGCTTGAGGAGGGCAGTAGGGTTTTGTCCAGCGGGAAGCCTTTGATCAAGAAAACATTGGATTGCAAAGAATTGAGGGCTCCACATCAGAATCACGTACCTCAATTTACCCGCAGGCAAGGCATCCACTGCTTGTCTCAGTTTGGTGGCGTTGACGACTGTGAACTCCAAAACCATTGTGGAAGGTTTTCTTGAACTTCTTCTTCAATTCTCTCTCTGTCTGGGTTTTCTTTCTTGCGCTTTTGAATATGGAATGGAGAATGGAAGGAGGAGAAATAAAACTGGGATTCGAATTTGGAAATGGGGTTTAAGAACGGATTGGTTTGAAAAGATGTTGATGGCGGGAGATGCTTGTAATAACAAACAGAATCACGGATGAGTTGGTTGAAATGAGTACTCGTTTAAAAAATGGGGTACCGTACCTACCATTCATTTGATTGGTCCAAATAGGTATATCATTTTTAATTTAGACTTAAATAATTCAACTGCAACACTTTCATTGGTCCATGTGGACAAAGGTATGGTTACTGGCTTATTACTCATATCAATTTTTCATTGAACACTTTTCATTTCACTTATTGCAGTAGATTTTTTTGTTGAATTAAATTAGCTTACTATATTAGATCACTTTAGTTAATTTTTTATATTACTTTCTTTATAAAATATTTTGTATATTTTAGATATGAATTTTCCATATTTTAGCATATTCCAGCTTTCAACCAAAACTTTATCAATTTCACCGGATTGAGCTGATTAAGCTAGTTTCAGTATTATCAAACAGACTTTTACTATTTCCTAAATAAAACTCTATATTAGTTTTATCAATTTACCATAGGGCTTTTACTATTTCCACTTTACCAATTTGTAATATTACTTTTTGTCTTGAATAAAATTGAGAGCTTTTTATTTCAAATCAAAAGACAAATCTTATGCATTCGTTTAGGAAATTAGTTAAATTAGTATAAAATAATATAAATTAATGTTTTGGACCATGCATGCTGGGTGGGGGAATATATTAATATCAAATAAATTAAAATGAACTTTTTACTCCCGTGCAACGCACGGGTTAAAATACTAGTAAAACTCTATATTAGTTTTCTACTTTTGTAATAATTAATCCCTAATTGTTAATATCGTACCGCTCCACTCCAATGATCTCTTGAGTCAATCATGGTTTGTATACACATGCAAAAATTCCAGTGAATATTAATGATCTAATTTTCGGGTGACTTTTCAGGATTCAAAATTTTTTCCCCCAATCCTAGAAGCTAGTAATGGTAGACATGAATCACATGATGAAAACTAAATATGAAATGTGGTGAAGGTGATAGGATGATGACTATGGAAGATACGAAAATGAAAGATAATGAAGATAGTAAAGATGGAGGATTATGAGATGATGTTAGCGATGAAAAATGAACAAAATGATGAAAAGGGGAGATGATAAAAATGAAAATAGAACAAAAGGGAAAGAGGAAGAAATACACAAAGAAAGTAGAGGGGGAAGTGATAAGATGTAAAAAGGAATGGTAAAATGGAGATATGTTTATATGGTGTATGAAGTGTATACACTTTTTGTGTACAAGAAAAATGTTCTTTGTACACGCTAGTTTTTACACGCCAGTGTACACGTCGGTCAAATTGTCTGTTTACAAATAATTTGACCTGCGTTTTATGAAGAAACCCAATTTCCAAAGAGACAAAACAAAAAATTTGTTTGTATCACAAACATTTTAAAATTCTCGTTTTAAATTCTCGTTTAAAAATATCTGTATCACAGACATTTTATAAAAAATCTCCTTTAAAATATTTGTGATACAAACAATTTTTTTGTCCGTGTCGAAATCGGTTTTCTTCATGAAAAGTCAATCAAATTGACTATGTGTTTAGACATTTTATGAAAAAATCTAATCTAAAATGTCTGTGATACAGACAACGTTTTGTTTTTATCTGTGTGAAAATCGGCATGTACATGAAGCGAGACTATTGTGTACAATTGCGCAAATAAGATTTTTGTAAATATGATCATATAAAATATTATAAATGTGTCATTAAAAATGAAATAGAACATTTATATTAATGAGAATTCCCTAAATGGGACTGAATGAAACTTTAATTGTCAAAATAAGACCATAACTTGAAAATTCCCTAAATAGGACTAGCTTTCTAATTATACTCTTGCTTTGTTTTAATACAATTCATATTTCATTAATAATTAAAATATAAAAGTAATAACATAATTTTATTTATAATAAAAAAGAAAAAAAAAATAAATAAATATTAAATAAAATTATTAAAAATAAAAAAATCGTAAAATAAAAATTATAAAATAAAAACTTAAAAAATTAAAATAAAATAAATAAAAAATGAAAAACATATTAAAAATATGCAAGCCTATCCTGTCACCTAAGGAATCTCATAACACTTCCATCTCTGATCACCATAAAAAATGGTAAAATTTGTAAGAAATACCATATTAATGGCAATTACCGAGAAAAATTGAAATTTTCATAGAGTAATAATGCTATCTTTATGGCTTTTTCACAAAATAAAGTGACCGTTTTTACACAAAATGACATTTTTTGGCCGATCAGAGGTAACTTGTCTGGGCAATGGCCGAGAGACTATGGGAAAGGTCTCTATAAATTTTATATTTTTTATATTGTTTTATCTATTATTATATTTTTTTTCAAAGTTTTTTTTTAAAATTAATGTTATTTAATTTTTATTATTTTCGTATATTTTTAAGATATTTCATAATTTTTTTATATTTTTTCACGATTTTTTGGATTTATTAAAATTAAAGTATGATGATCTTGTTAAGTTAATATAATGATATAATAGAAAGACAGGGTATACTTTATTACTTTAGAAAAAAACATAATCTTATTTATGCATTTATGAAATTATGAAATAGTTTAGTCCTATTTAGGACTATTAACTCTTGGATTCTTCTACCGTATCAACCTAAATTTCAAGGGTTTTGGTACCCATATTTCTCAGCCAATCAGAATAAAAGAAATTGACATGTCATATCCGTTAATAAACTATACATGATTTTTTTGTTATTACTCATCATGGTCTTACTAACACTATATTTTTTACTAAAACTATTTTTTTCGGTCATTTTACACTTTTACAATTTTGTAAGGAATAAATGTATTTAGATTTTGATGATGCTAGGTTAATTAGAATTTGAAAGTACCCCATTAGAAATTGTGTATTAGAATTTCTTTTGTAAGTTTTAGCTTAGTCTGCTTGCCAGAGTTTCATCTTGCCTCTACCAGAGTTGCTCACCAGAGAAGCCATCAGAAACTGGTTATCAGAAAGATACCAGAGTTGGCAACAGAGACGGACTACAGAGATTGGACCAGAGAACCACTTCAGACTCTGCTAATTACCATCAGATTCCGGAAGCCCTTCTAACGGTCGTTAAACTAACGGGAAATCCCCTAACGGTTACGAACCTTTCAACGGAAGCATGACACTGTACACGCATTAAATGCACATTTAATGCTGTACGTACGAAGAGATATTTAAAGCTGATGATTGACCATGCGAATATCTTTACGCCCCCAAAATAGCAAGTCGGAGGACCAAACGGTCAATTCAACAGTACATGCATTTAATGAAGCTGTCTTCTACACTCCAACGGGAAGACTGCTCCCAGTATATTAAGATACACTCTGAAGAACTAAGAAGTGAACTTGGCCATAACTTTGCGACAATACCTGCTGAACAAACTTACTAAAAGCCTTCTTGAGATTCAAACTCCATTCCTAACAAGAAAAGGCCAAAGTTGGAAGATAAACTTTCTTATCCTTCATCCAACTAGCAAAGGCAAAGTTACTCAGTTCTTCAACACTTCGAGAGCTTCATACACTCATCTTTTGTGAAGAAGCAACGTTGGAGAAAACTGATTCTATATCAAACACTTCTTGAAAAAGAAGGGACGTCTCAAATTAGCTGGAGTAAGTGAAGTGGAGATACTTCAAGAGACTAAGTGAAACGAGATCAGCCATCAGGAAGCAGGACTGCATCCCGGGTGGCAACTAGACTTGAAGAAGACGAGGAGTGCTTCTTAAGCTCTAGGGACTAAGGCGTTGTAAACTGTTGTTTTTGCAAGCTTAGTGGAACAGTGGACTAGAGGAACGAGTTGTTCCTTGAACCACTATAAAAACCCCGGTGTCATTTACTTTAAGCTTTTAATTACTGCACTTAAGATTCTACTGACTAACTCTTAAGGTTGGACTCTGTGTCCAGCAGATCTTCCTTCAGAGTTATCAGAAAGGCAGTTTGCCTTAGTTTTCTTCTAGAGGCTACCCGTACAGAAACTCATCCGCTGCCTGGTCTAGTTCTGCCATCAGAACTTGACCATCTCTTTCACCAGATCTCGACCTTCTCTGATAAGTCAGACTTGACTTGGAGAAAAGTTTAAATTCCTGAACAGTCTATTCACCCCCCCTCTAGACTGTTCCTATTACAAACGGGACCAACAAGTGGTATCAGAGCCTCCTTGTTCTTTTAATCTTTTAGGTTACTTAATAAACAAGAGATCCACTTGTTTTAGCCTCTTTAATCTCATATTATGGATAACACTCTTTCAAAGAATCTTATGTTCTCAGTAACAAAGTTTGATGACTGGAGGATCCGCATGAAAGCTCACCTCTGCGCACTCCATGACGAGATGTGGGAAGTTCTTGATGCAGGACCCTTCACAGAGTTCACCAAGGTCAACCCTGAATACATCACTGGTAGTGGTCAACCCCAGATGATCACCAAACTGCGCCACGAATGGTCTAATGAAGAGAGGAGGAAGTACAACCTTGACAACATTGTCAAGGATATCCTCTACAAAGCCATTGATGACAAGTACTTCACAAGGATCAAGAAGTGCAAATCTGCCAAGGAAATCTGGGATACTCTCACCCTGATAGGAGCTGGAGATGAGCAAGAAAAGGACAACAAACTTACTATTGCCATGAAGAAGTTTGAAGATTTCAAACTTCTACCCAAAGAATGCATAGCTGAGATGTATGCACGCTTGCTCACCCTCACTGCTGAGATATCAGAACTTGGGAAGGAACTTACTCCCAAGGTGATCAATTTGAAGGTTCTCAGAGGTTTACCTTCACCATGGAAGATGAAGGTCACTGCCATGAGAGACAGCAAGGACCTCAGAACCTACAGCACTGAAAAACTCATCCCTGATCTCAAGTCTTATGAGTTTGAGATGAATGAAGAAGAGAAAGAAGAAGTTGAGGACAGAACAACTACTGCCCTCACTGCCAG